GTTGGAGGAATTCAAGTAAACATATCTGATAGGCATGTGCTTTTGTGAAAATACTCCGGCACCAGATCCTTCGTCTCCTTCAGGAGATTGTGGAACGAACCATCTTGTGCAGAGTTTGGCCTGCAGTCATTGCTCAGATCCCCAAATGTAGAGCTGTTGCACAAGAACCCACATGCTCTTCTACTTCTGGCTTCCAGGATACCTGTCCTGTATCAGCAGATGGTGTGGCTGCATCTGGTGTTTTGCACCCATGGACAGACCTCCTGTCACTCGGAGGCACCTCAGCAGCAGAATCCTTTTTTTTTAAGTGAAAGCTTACGTAAACTCATTTCAAATATGAATATGCATAGCAACTGTATATCCCCCCTGTACCACTCTGTATTAAACGTCACCTCTTGTCCATATCACCTATGATACAGCAATTATTTTTTATTCTTCAGAAGCATAACAAAACCTAATATTACTTCTGTACATACATTGTTGTCTTTATTCGGAACCTTACCTTCATGATTATTAATATAGGTTCTTGCCTTGTAATGTGAAAATAAAACCTAATGTGTATTCTGGCAGTAAAAGTCAGTTTTACTGTGAGGAAGAAAGTAGGCAGGAAGGATCAGAAGGCTGCACAATTGCAGGAAATTCTAACAGAAAATTCTACCAACAATATAATTGAAACTAATTCTTTATCTCTGTTATTTCCTCTAACTTTGATGTATCAGTGACTTAGATTACACTTGAAAGTCAGCATCACTTCTGTGGTCTAGCTTTGTGTTATACAAGAATGAATTTCATTTATTTAAATTTAAAAAAATTCTAAGGCATCTCCTTGTCTCTAGGAAACGGAAAGCAAGAAACAGGATTACCTTTCTCCTGCCTCAGGGGCTGTGGTTTAAATGCTTAATCCTAGTTTCCTATTCTGGAATTTGGCTGTCAGTTTATTGTCAAGAGGTGGCATTATATTTATTCATGTTAATAAGCCAGCAAAGATTTCTGTCAGGCTAAAATGTAGTCTTTCAGAGCAATGTGATATGTTACACTACAGCATATTAAAATTACCATACCAATTTCTGCAATGCTATATATATGACATTGAAGTACGGTAAAAATGGGTATAAAATTATAATTACATCCCTTTTTTGTTTCTGAATTTAAGCGGAACATTGGGGGCATATATCTAGACAGTGGTGCCCAGCATAGCGACGTTAATCCATCCCGGATTAATCGTCGCTATGTGGAAACATCGCTAAACGGAACGGAAAAACCCATAGGAATGCATTAAACTTCATTTAATGCGTTCCTATGGGGCCCAATCTCACCGTTCAGCGAAGATCCTCCATAGCGCCGCCATTTTCGCGCCTTCGGTAAGCGAGGAAACAATGCGAAAATGGTTTTGGAACCGCTGATCAGCTGTTTAAAAAAACATTGCAATGCGAAGATCGGTAAGCGAAACGCTTACCGATCATCGCAATGCGATGTTTTGCCCATTAAAACATCGCAATGCAATCGCATTAGCGATATAAAAAAGATCGCTATGCGGATTCGTCGTTAAACGGTGCACTCGTTATGCGAGGCACCACTGTA